CATCCCGATAAAGGTATATATTCGTCTCTGGTAGGACCATTGTGTTGGACTGCTAAACAAATGCACTAAGAGGTCACTCATTTTAAATCATGGGGCTGGCTGAAAACGTGTGGCCAGTGTTTTTATTTTTTCTTGAATGTGCTAGCATTTTTTTCTGTCACACCTTTTTTTTTTTTTTTTTTTTTTTTTTGTAATATTTTTGTGCCAGGCGACAGTTCTGGACATTGAATGTCACCGTTGTCTCTCCTGACTTTTTTTTTTATGTGCAAATTGCAAGTGCTAGTGCTGACACATAGTGCATTTTGCCACAGAAGTCATATTCATGTTTGGGACTACATGACAGGGCTGTGTGGCCATCTCTCTGTCAAATGGCAATTTTAATGCGCTATCCTGGCGTCAACCAGGCTCGGTCGAACACAAGCACCTGCGGACCTTAACAAAGGTTCCCCCAAAGTCGCATTCGTTAGTGAATGAATCTCGGCCAGTAGAATTGGCCTTCCCATTGAGTCTGTGGCACACTCACCCAGGGTAGGGGTTGACCCTTTGATGTTCAGCCTAAGGTAGGATTTGAACATGGGTCTACCGATCATGAGTCTGGAGCGACAACCACTATGCTACCAGTGATCTGTCACACCTTACACACATTATTTTCTATTTGTATATTCACAGGGATGGAGGGACTGTGGTGTATTGCTTCCATTTTTTTAAACAAGTCTTCCGGTCACTTGATTTAAAACTTGATTTAAAATAACCTTTAACAACATCACCATGAATGTTAATAGCCAACCGCTGCCACGTTGTGAATAATTATTATACAATGTCTACGTGTGTCAACTATAATACTAGTTCATTCGTATACTTTTATTGTTATATCATTTTCTGATATCAATATTATATATTTTAATGAAGGCAATATAGAAATATTTTCTCAAATGTGAAGAAAAGTCGGCACTTATTAAAGAAAGTATAGTTCTGGGTAGTGACAAATTGTACTTGTTCACACAACTTGCGCTTATTATTTTATCACATTTCACGTTGTTTTTTTAACATAATTATTTATTTGTAAAATCTGTCAGTGTGAGTGCCTATGTATTATTTCATTTCGTTTATTTCAACGTAATAATTACTAATTAACGATAGGAAAAACTGTTTTCTCAAATGTGTGAGCTTGGGTACAATTTCGGATTCTACCGACTGTTTTTTCAACCAATAGGAATGTGTTAATTTCGACCAATCGCGAAGAGCGACAATGGACCAATCACAGGTCCGCTGTTAGTGACCTCTGTCTTAGCCTTATGTAATCCTGCGGTATAAATAATGGCGCCATTATTTGAAATCATTATACTTCATTCTTGACCAGATAGAAGAACTCAACATGGCACGTACCAAGCAAACCGCACGTAAATCTACCGGTGGTAAAGCACCACGTAAACAGTTGGCAACCAAAGCCGCTCGTAAGAGTGCACCAGCCACCGGAGGAGTGAAGAAACCTCATCGTTACAGGCCAGGTACCGTAGCTCTCCGTGAGATCCGTCGTTACCAGAAGAGCACAGAGCTCCTAATCCGTAAACTCCCGTTCCAGCGTCTGGTCCGTGAAATCGCCCAAGACTTCAAAACTGATCTTCGTTTCCAAAGCTCTGCCGTAATGGCCCTACAAGAAGCCAGCGAAGCTTACCTTGTCGGTCTCTTCGAGGACACAAATTTGTGCGCCATTCACGCCAAACGTGTCACCATCATGCCAAAAGACATCCAACTTGCCCGCCGAATCCGTGGTGAGCGTGCTTAAATCGTATGCCTAGCATACACAAACAAAACGGCCCTTTTCAGGGCCACTACATCCTCAAAAAAGAGAACTACCGTAAAATATACTAGTATTGTTGTTGGATTGGGGTTACTGTAATATTCCGTTCAAAGATTCTACCCACAAGCCCAAACTACAACTATTACGATATGATGCATATCCATATCACGGCAAACACTAACCTAATTGCCCAAAACATTTTCAGACACCGAAGTAAATCTTGTCGCAAAACGAAATAGCTTTAGTGTCAACAATTACCCTGTAATCATGGAGCTCTATGCTGTAATAGGGCTTGTATTATTCATGAAGGTATAAACTGTGTACTAGTATATCTGTTTATACCTCTATGCATTATTTTACGGGTAAATGTTGACTTAGAGGGCGGTATCGTTCACCAAACACATAACTTGTTAGCACAGTAAGTCTATAGAGTGACTGTCTTATAAGCTTACTAAAGTGTTTTGAGATTATGTTACACCATAAACCCTAAAAAAGAGAGGGAAAAACAACACTGACGAAAGGCAACAAACTAATAGTTTATTTGCCTACGTTGTTGCTTTGCATACGTAATTAGCAAAAGCATCCGACAGGCTTCCGGATTTGTCATCCCCCCGTTTTTGAATCGCAAATTTCTGCCACATTCTTTAATCGTAAATTAGATGAATATTTAATTATTTGTGGTCACTTTGGCGTATAAATTAATTGCGTATCGACAAGCTGCCTATCCCTGTTTTTTAAGGGTCTGTGTGGTTACACGCAAGTTTATTAAAGAAAAAAATGTCCAGACATGTTCAAAGTTATACCGCATCACAACATTTTGTGACATTTCCAGCCAGTAAACGTCCAATGTAGGAAAATGCACACTCCGTAAGCAACACGAAAATAAACAAATGTAAAGGGTCGACCACATGAAATTAAGGAGGTGGCTGGCAAGTTGGACACCGCAGGGAGCTGTAATGCTTCCTGGACACCAAGAAAAGACGAAATAAGAATGTTCCAACTAGAAACTACCCAAAAAAATGCATTGGTCACCCCATTATTTCAAATATTTTACTCCTAATTTTACTGATACATGCATACTGATACAAGACGTGATCTGACTGTTTTCACCGATATACTACTAACATCTATGAATACAAATGCAATTATGCTAATTTCTATATCTGAGTTATAAGTTTTATATTTTCAAATTTTAAACAACATATAAACGCTTTATTTTACTTAAAACACGCACACAATTTTGATAAAGCAAAGCAAATTTGACACCAGGTTTTATTCATGTTTTAAATGTTTTTGTATGTAAAAACTCCATTCTTTTAGTGCACAGCTCATAAGTAGTTCAACCATAAACGTTCAACGGAGCAAAGTCATTATATAGCATACATCATAGTTCCTTTACAGAGGGGGACTGTACATGCATGTAGTAATGTAGTGTTCTTCATTTTTAAACCAACTGTAATGTCTATAATCAGCGTAGAGGCAATATTGTTTTGAGAGGAAACCGGTCAATTTTGTCAGCAATTTACAACTGTGAATGTCAATTTGCATAATGATTACTTGAATATCAGTGAAAACGTCTTTGACAACCTAGTGAGATTCAAAGGCAGATTTCCTTGCAAAATAAGCTTCTGTCAATCACTGTTATGTAACAGCGATAGAAAATAAACTACCAGTTGTTTTCTGTTTATATAAATATAAACCTCAGTCTGAGCTTAGACCATTATGCTCAGAAACAGCCCCTCTATAGACTGATAGAGGAACTGTGGTCTGAGCTTATACAATACCTCCACGCTATACCAAACCACCGACTCTGGTCCCTGGTGAGGGACGGTGACCAGACACCCAGTCAGAACTCTGAATATGAATAGCCACACATTAATAATTCTGCCCATGGCGTTCCTGTAACGTAGTAACCAGTTTGCTGCAAAACCTAAATTTTCAGTTTACGATAAATCAAAATTTATTTTGTTCTCGACGTGCCGTAGATTAAAACATACATATTTCTGTTTGTAATACATCTTAAAAATAATACACATTGCCATTTATCCGTTTCAAGCCCTAAAGTTAACCAAAGACACTAGAGAATATGTTATAGTCTCGTTGAGTACGGTTACTAGTTACGGTTTTTAGTAACCGTGCGTTGAGTAAACGTATCAAAAACTATGCTTATTGCGTTCAAATCTTGGCGGGCCCGGAACGAGGTCATCTGTCAACTTAGAAAACAAATATGTAAAAACCCGAAGTATGTGTCGTATAGTGATTGGTGTATGTCACACGCCGAAAAATGTCGTTAATATTAATTTTCATGTACGTATGTTGCCAAGGTTACGTTTTTTTTATACTACAGAAGCTGTCTCCTTCTGTTTGCTCTGTGAAAATGAAAGATGACTATTTTAGTATGTACTTCACATTGAAACACATTATAGTTTACGAACTTTTGCAACTTGTGGCAAAAACATATAAACTTTGTTGTGACCATGTGGATACGTCGTCAACTCGTTTTGTTCATGGGCGTACTAGTACATCCGCGTCCATGTTCTGTTCTAAGGGTTTGTTTAATCCCCTAGTGGTTTAATACGCAATGAGCGTGCCGAGCTGTGCGTATCAGTTGAATCATGTTATTTTAATATTCCATAGCTGCTCACATTTTTGTCCAACAATCAACTAAATTTAGTTAAATCTTTTAAATGTGATAATTTAAAACCATTCTCTTTTTACTCATTTACTTTAAAATACATGTACTAGTATATACTCATTGATACTTTACATAGTAAACCTCTCATAACAGTAATGTGCGACTTTTAGTACATTGTACTAATGTATATATCGTTGTCATTCCCATGTACATAAAAGTATCCCTTGTCCAAATTTAATGGAAACCGTTGGTGAGATATTATAATGTACATTATTTCGCGTTCCAGTCATTTCACTCTAAACGACTCATTAAACATTGACGTAAAAATTCCATCTTGGTACAAAGTACTACATTGTATTTTAATAGTTGAAAAATAAAACCTATAATGTCTTGCATGATGTCAATATATTCCACTGGATATTAAAAGTCCCATATTTCTGAGCATTAGCAATTAAAGTAGGATTGCTACAATTTTACAGTCAAATGTAACTAAAGTCTGGCGACCATTATTTTTTTGGACAGCGCCACTAACGACAATACTCCGATAATATCGCGGTATTTTGCGTGACTTGCTGAATGGGCCCCTGACGCTAGCTGAGGTCATTTTGGGTACGCTGTTCCTGTCTTCCTTTCGCCCTGGTCTGATAATTGTTGCCAAAAGAAGAGATATTACAACTATTGAGGGTAGGTCCACACTTATATAATTCTAAAAATCATCATAGCATACCATAAAATGCCTGATTCAATGTCGGCTGCCGAGCGTATTAAAATGAAGTGGGCTTGGTCACATTTTACAAAGCTGCTGTATTCATTTCATTTTCAATCCACGGAATAATTTTGTTTGTTTGGCGAACTTGAGCTACACATGCATGATATATCGGTTGATATCCGCGGTGTTTTCATTTCATTGAAGTTATTACGGTACTAACTCATTTTAGTGTACCCCGGGCCCCTCTGTCGATAGAACATGATGACATATTAGCATTCCGTGCGTGTTTTGGTTCACTCGACTTACCCGTAACATAAGCAGGACACAACATCACTATTATGATTTATGTAAATATCAATATTATTTAATCTATAAATGCAAGTTTATTTTTATTTATGTCATCGTATATAATACAGCTAACCAAATCTAGCAATGTGTAATGAATTGAATATACATTCGATAATAATATTCATAATTTTACAAATAGGGGTTATATTAAAGTTGTATTGTGTTCAGTATTTCGACTTTTAAAGTTATTTGTGGCACGTAGAAATGGAAATTACTACTATATATTTTCCAAGGTTTCTCAGTCAAGTTTGTAGTTTGTTGCAAATAACTCCACTGTCAAGCACTTCCTAGGGCAGTGGTCGATGTAACACCCGATCATGATGACCCGATGTAACACTAAGAGCTTGATATGGGTGCAAAACGGTGTACGCAAAACATGTTAAATACGTTACAATTTGGATGCTCACCACTATAATATTAGAAACAGCAATGCATGTTGAATTTATTGTTGACAACAATAAACAAAACACTAGCTGGTTGGAAAATGAACCTTTCATGAGGAATTAATTCTTATTCAGTTTGGAAACTTTTTTGACATAAATATTCAGTGTATAATTTCAGAAAATATATTTTAAAGAAAGTTATTTATTTCAAGAGTGACACACGTTTATACCAAAAGAAAACTTACTTATTGTTCTTAAATCTTGAGAATTTCCGTGACGTAATTTCTGGTTTGCAAATCAGACAACAACGACATTTATAGGGATTTCCTTGTTAGAAATATGGCATTTACAGACAAAATAGGCAACAAATCATGCATTAGTTAGCAATACTGTGGGAGTGGTGAATTACCACCCAGGAAATGTGCTGTTTTCACACATATTCCTGAATCGGTCTAGTCAGCACGATATGATTTAAATGTGTAGTCACATAGATTGCTAGATTTACAAGAAATTATATATTTTGGTTGTGGTTATACTTCCTGTGAAATTGGCAGTTGTCATAGCTTGAAGTTGTGTGCTTTCTGAGATCTTAGAAGCCACTACAATAATGCTAGGAACAAAGTGAACAAAGTCATGGTCAGGTCACAACGGTCACAAACGTATCGTGTCCAGCCATTGGTTTGGCCACATAGAGGTCAAAATACGTGTTCTATTTTTACGCGTTCTATTTGGCTCTTTCGTTTCACCCCATCCGGAATGTTCTACTTTCGCAGCCTAATCACAGGTTTTTCGAAAAACATTGAAAAAACACAAGAATTAGAAATGTTCCTGTTTTGAGCGGATTATTGATAGAGAATAATGCCGTAGTTATTTTTTTTTATCGGCGAAAAACTGCGAACTCGGCAAATGTGGTTGCACAACTTCCCTTTATCATATACACCCAGCGACACCGATGCCAGCTGACTGATCTTCCCGACGCAATGGGCAAATTATTACTTTGCAGGCCCCGATCCCCTTGAAAGACTTCTTGTAGACTTCCATTTTATAACTGTTTTTGTAAGGCTAACAAAGGCAGGATTACCTTTCGATCAATACATGTTATTGCTTTGAAGATGTGCAAGACGAAGCTGACACTAGTAAACAATACAACAACTTAAGCATCACAGGCATGATTTCAAGAATCACCGGCGAAACAAAAGCAACGCAACTATTTGTCTAAGCGACGCGGGGACATGGTGCTTTAAAGGCCTTGGGAAAACTGATTTATTTGTTGGAAACATCGTCATAGATACAGTATCTATTGTGTGGATGTCAAAGATTTGGGAGAAAATTCCCAGGAGGCAACATTTAAACTGACATTTATGACATTATAAAAAAATTTGCATAGCAAATAAGATAAACTGTCTATCCCTGACCTCTGAAAGTGCATTGACTCCATGTCATATTTGTCCCATAACTTTTTCACATACTTGTTTCTCAAGTCTTTAGTAATTATACAACTCAAACCAAAACAATTATTGCTGAAGTTTACTTTTTCAGACTTAAGTTTATTAGCCCATGCCATGCTGAATCAAAGACTGAAAGAGTGTGGTTTTGAAAAACAAACTGTAAAATGAGAATTTAAGGCATTTTTCAACTGTTGATGACATGTCACTGTTGACGTATATTGCAGGCCATCAATGTAAAATGTGTTAGTTCAAGTGAAATTTGAACCTTGTTGTTGTGACAGAAATTAGATGTAAGAAATACTTATGGCTATTAGGGTATAATGCTTGAAAAGTAAGGACACACATGACGTCTTGTACAAGACTTTCCGTTTGTTTTCAATTCATAATAACAGCATGGTGATCATAAATTATGTAAAAGATTATTGAACCAGTGGAGAAACTAGTATAGATGGTAAAAACAAAGATGTTTTGAGTTTAACCCTTAATTAGTAGTAACTCAACATTGATTTGAAAATAAGTATTTCTGTATTAAGGCCTATTCACCTTTTCCAGACAGGCAGATTTTAGCTGGGACAGGCAATTGTACAAATTGACTGTACCTGTGGACAGGTGAAAACAGATATCATGTTTTTAATTAACCGTCCAAATGAGGTAGTCCAAAGTTGAAAATGCCCAGAAAATTGCTTCCAGAATTTTTAAGATTTGATTATGAAAATATTGTTTCAAGTAATGTTATAGGGACAGGCTGCAACTAGCTCTCCAACTAGTTCTATGGACCGGCAATAATTTTGAATTTCAACCCTGTAAACTATTGTACATTTGCTACTACTGTGAAATGACAAAGACTACTGTAAAATCTGTATTAGAAGCCACATCTCTAATAGAAGTCGCACCCATTCTTTTTGAACAATTGTGAACCAAAAAATCATCATTTCTCATATGTGTAGATGCTCTAATAGAAGCTGCATCCCCTTGGTTGCATTGTACCATTTTAATTGACCATTTTCCGTTCACTGCGAGAATCACGCGTTATGCGTGAAATCAAACTTAAAAACAGGACAAACAAAGGTCATAGCGTCGTAGTCGCGTCAAACATCGCGTGGGATTCGACAAACGCGAAAGTATTTCGGGGACATTTCCATGCTCAATAATGTGCTGTCCACATTTGATGATAGGCAATTTTGATTAAGTAAGCGTATTCGGAAGCAATATTCCTCTGTCGAAGATCGGTCGATCAATGTAAGCTACGAAATAAAGAAATTCTAGTTCAAAATCAAATCGTTCGATTTTTGCGGCAGACGTTCGACGCGCGTCTTTCATGCATCTCGCGAGATCTCGCAATTGTACGGAAAATCACCTATAGAAGCCACAGCTTCTAATACAGATTTTACAGTACTAGTATATTCACAATGAAAGATATACAGTCGTACCTCTAGAAAGGAACACAGGATGTACAGTAAGACCTTTTGAGTTTGTGTGTGCTCTCTAATGAGATGGTGTTTACATTGAAGTTTTTGAAACAAAAATATTAAACAAAATTCTATTTCTGCTTGAAGTTAAAGCTACTATTTTCTCATAATTTTTTTCTGTCTTGAGTTTAGTAATCCTTTATAGATTGAATAGACAGCTACATTCGTAACAACTACAAGAATTTGTTATTGATTGGATTCTAAAAATAGCTTCCTGTAAATACTTTCTATATGGTTACCCTTGTCAATAGGTTTCAACTTTGTATGTAATTTATCATGAATATTGGAAATCTGAAGTGTTGCCAAGTTTTCTTTATGCATTTTGACGCCTAATTTCCTCTTTTCCTCTTGTGTGAATCAATTTGTAAAGTTTGACTTGTGTATAGTTTGATTGGTAACCTGCCCATCTATAGTTATAGCAGGTGATGTGGAAGCGGCCTTTGAGGTTCTCTTTTATATAATTACCTTTACTACCAATGATCACTTTGCTGTGAGGAATTCTCATGATCACTGGCTTTCATAATATATTACTTTACACAGGCGGCAGTACAAAATTTTGGACCGGGGAAGGGGGCGAGATCTGCTCACCAACTTTGCGCTGTAGGCCGACTTTACTAGGGGTCCGGAGGCATGCTCCCCCTTAATTTTGAAATCTAAACCCTCTAAAACACTATTTCCTGTATTTTGAGGGGCGAATTTTGCTGACACCAAGGATTTCACTATGATTTTGGAGGGGCGACGCTTCCCAAATTTTTTTTCGAGGGGGGCGATCCCCCCCTCTCCTATTACTAGTAGTAGTGCATATACTCGCGTAAATAACGGAGGTCAAAATAAAAATATGTTGTATTGTAAACGATCTAGCATTCAATATAGTGGTGTACACATAACAGATCTCGGCATGTGCCATAAGTCAGGACAGAGTCAGCACATGCCAAACTGTGTATGTGAGCGGTAAGGACAAAATCGACACATGCCGAAAAAACTTGTTCTCAGTCTCAATAGAGAATCAGGACTGAAACCTGACAAATGCCAAGATTTGCTGCCTGAACGCTTGACACAAGCCAAAATCACACTTTCTGCAGTGAATTTAAGGGAGAAATGCAGCTAGCTTGTCAAGAAAGAAATGATTGGTATGGCAACATATATTTTTGTGCTGCTGCAACTGGTTTCTTCTTGCAATACTACATCAACATGAAAAAGTAACTGTGCTTGCCAACTAAACAGGGCAACAAATATCATCATAAAAAATAACCTATATCATATACCTGAAACAATGTTGATATTTTTGCACACTTGCCCAACTCCTTGATAACTTATGTAATTTAGA